GCGCACAGTACATAGCCATCCAATTAAATGCGATTGAAATGAATGGCCAACACACATATTCGCATCGCGATCGAAGAGAAGGAACACACCAAGTCTAACGAAATCGCAAATGTTAGATCGAAGAATGATGAAGACGAAATGGACATAAATTGTAACAACCGTGCAACCAACGGCTATGCAACATCATCTGAATCCAATGCAAGTGCAGCACTTGAAGAACTGTGCCGAGAGAATAAATGAACACGATAATAATTAATTTATTTGTTATAAAGTAGCCAAAGTGTTTTTTTTGCACACACTGAAAATGTAATATGGATATGACGTTAAAGGTTAAAATTCTCGGTGGAATTTCATTCTATTCAGAAATTGAACAAGTGCGTTGCTTTACAGTCATTCAAGAGTCACTACTGTCGCTACTGTTTGCAACACAGAACCATAACATTTTGATCATTAATTTATTAATTCATGACTGTTTTTTTTTCTTCGGCCTCACACTGACGAATCACCTGATGCGATCGCATTCATTCTTCAATTGCATACGAATCGCGGCCAAATCTTGGTTTGTTTTGATTCAGTAGCGTGGCGTTTTTTTTCTTTTATTCTTTCTGTCATTTTCACAAAAATGTCACAAAATAATGACCCTCGATGTGTCTTGCATGCAGCCGGTTTGAAATGTTATTCATCAAAGTGCAAAAATGGTTTTAAATTCCGAAATGAAATGGCCGGTGCTAACATTGGACACATCGAAAACGGTTTTATAATCCATATTTGCCAAAACGTGACCAGATTTTTTGGTGTGCAAAATCGGTACCGGCCAAGGAGAGAATGACTGCTTTTTATTTGAAGCTTAGCATGAAGAACCAAAAAAAACGGAACATTATGAATTTGTGTCAATGCAAGCCGAAAAGTTTAATTAGCCGTGCCATTGGATGGAGACGACGGGGGAGAGAGAAAACAGAGACATCGATGCACAAACGACTTTGAAATGCGATCGAAAAGAAACGACAACATTTCACACGATTGTCTATCTGCTGACTTATCAAAATCATGACATTCGTCTTGATTGCTTTTTTCTTTGCAAAAACGCCACTTTTTTCTTTTCTTTTGTGATGATTTATAATCTAAAAAAGTTTAATCTTGAAAGTTGTTATAAACTTTTTTCTTATGATAAATTGAATGTTTTTTTAATGAACTTCGGTTGTCATAATTTGATTGAAGTTCATAAGAAATGCAAAAATCATCACAGTGATTAATTGAGTTCAATGCTTTTTGCAATACATTCAATAATCGGAACACAGTCTCGGCTATGGTTGTTGCCAAGCCGAATGCTGTTACATTTAAAATGCGAGAATAATTGGAGCAAGATATGAAATGCAACGTGTATCACTTTCGTCATTTGGAATGTGGCTGCTGTTGTTGTTGTTGTTGTTGGCCATTTTAAATTTGGCATCCAGTTTCGAATGTAAGTAATTTATTATGTGATGTCCGCGATCTTTGGTACACCGAAATACGGACACAGGTGTGTTTTGCACATTAGCGAAAAATTGGTGAATAAAGCAATTTAATGTGCTTTTGCTTCTTATCACACTCACATCATCTGCATAATTTCATTTTATTTCTTTAATTTATATTCCCATTCATTGAAAAAAAAATTGTGTTCGCTGAAATAGTAAATGTGTGGCGGTGATTGCAGCAGCTTCATTTTTTGGAATGCCAAGTGGCCAATAGACAGACATGTGGTTTTTGCACTTTTGACTGTTCGATACGCGCGTAAGCAAATGCAGGCAAAAGTAGCAAATTGTTTAGGAAAATTTCATGCCACTTAAAAAGATTTACACCTGATTAGACGGTGAGTTGTGCATTACAGCCGACGAAATTGATGGCATTGCATATTGATGCACCAATCAAAGGAAGAAAAAAATATAGAAAAGACAGAAAGAAATCTGATCCATCGATCTAAACACGATCTGATGGATTTTTGTCGAATTTTTGTGCAATACTTTCTCTTTTTTCTGTTAAAAAAATTGCGATTTGTATTTATTTCTTCGTTTTTTTAGCGAATATTTCTGTTATTCGAACATTGCATAATGTCGATGCTGGCAGATGCGGCTGCAACACTTCTATGCTCTTTTTCTGCCACCACTGCACTACTTCTCACTCGATCTTTTTTCTCCGCTTGTCTCTTTCCATATGAAAAACAATTTTCAATTAATATCTTGACTGCGGAATAAGAAAAAAAAACAGCAACATTGATGAAACAAGAACAACAACAAAAGTAAATGCGGCGCTCGGTTGCACCGCAACATGAATAATAACATAGCAGGTAAATCATGAATTGTGGCCCATACTTCATTAATGCTACGAAGGCAACCGGGAAAAACTACGGCCATAGTAAACGTTACAAACACACACACACGCTCACACAGCAGATATTGATGCAACGATATGCACCATGGATTCTCTCTGCATTGAGTATTTGCATTTTTTTTTCATTCCATCTGTGTTGGCCACTTTTGATTTCTTACTTTTACGATTATGGGCAATTACAAAATATGCTAGGGGGAAAGAACTGAGTAAATGAAAATATAAATATTGTAAATAATCGCACATTCTACCGAGTTTGGATCAATACGCGTCAATGTGTGTCAATGCGCTGAATAACTAGCTGCGAATGCATGCAAATATGGTAAATAAAATGTGCGTATTTGCAACTGTCATTCCTGCTCGGCACGAACGAGACGAAGCAACAGAAGAAAACAACAACAATAACACTACGGAACGCAGTGCAAATGCCTGTGAATATTTGACAATACGTGTCAATGAAGTAAATATACCAATAGTTCTTTCCCCCTAGAAAATATGTTCCATTTCATTTCGAGCACCAAAGTGTTTATCGCACCATGGCGATGAACACACCTATTCGCATCGGATGTAGAATGATGGAATGTGTTGTGATTTGTCAGATGGGTATTTCAGTGATTTTCAATTATGTCAATAATCGTTGTGAGCCATTGAGATAGAGATAGAGAGAAAAAGAGCGAGATAGAGAACGAGAGTTAGAGAGAAGCGAAATTACATAGCGTTAAAGTCAATCTGAATTCCGTGGAATGAATGATGCAAACGAAATCAAGTCACACTCATTCATTCATTCATTTCGCATCAACCTGAATTATTACAAATTATCGTCCGCGCGGCCTATTGATTATTCGATCGGTGGTTAATCGCATCGAGGCATTTAGTTAACACGCTACATACGTAATTATTTACAAAGTTAGCAAATGACACGATTGCACGTTTCGATCAAATTTATATGCAAGACCGAGCCTAATGAGATTTTGGACTACGCACATGACCCAATTCAATTCGACCTGGATGAATACATCAGCCCTACGGCTAAATCTCGGGTTGATCTCTTGAAATGCCATTGAGATGTAACAGTTACAGTGATAGACGATCCGTTTGAACAATTAGAATCTTTGATAATTTTGCGTAGAGTAAAAAAGAGACGAACGATTACATATTGCGCCATACGTAAATGAAATACGGTGTGGCGATAAACAAAAATCCATTTCTCGCGATGAGTAATGACAACATCACATCTATTAACATGAGCATTTGGATTTCATCTAATTCCATATTGTGTTCATCACTTCTTCTTTTTTCAAGACTAGATTTCATATGAAGCACAAACTCTTTGGCTCTTGGTATTGCATACACTCGCATTTATTAATGGCAATGATGACCTAACGCAGAAAGCAATCAACACACCATCATTTGTTGCTCAGTTGTTGTTGTTCGCCTTTCATTCGGTTTGTTGCCTTGTATTGGCCATTAGTGTCTTGGCGTGTAATGTAAAGTACAAATTTACAACGCAGGTCAACCCAAGATAAAATACACACCATCCAAATTAGAATATATATCCATTCGAAGATTTGTTACGGCAATTACACCGGCCCGAGAGAGTGTTGTTGCAGTTTTGCCCATCAATTGCAAACCACTCCGCGTAATGCAAATGAGATGTCATCGAGATACAAGGTGTCAGCCAATGCATTTCATTTTAATCGAATGAACCGCTTTTTACAGGCGCTTCATTTTTGAACTTGGTTTTACTTTAATCATATACAAAAACACATATGAAACGAAAAAAAAAACTTTCTCGTTGTTTAAATTACATAATAAAGAGAAGAGAGAAGAAAAAAATGATCATACATTACACTCACGCATGTAAAATGATCATTGCGATTCGACATCGTCAATATATTGTATTGATGCTATGATTTGCATGACTTTACATCCGTTGATACAATAAATATTTTGTTTCGATTTCCATAAATATCTAGAAATTGCGGCGTGTGTATGTGTCTCTTTGTATCTTTAGCTCTCTCTCTCTTTCTCTCTCTTTCTCTCTCTTTCTCTCTCTTTGTCTCTCATTCTCTTTTTGCAAATGAAACTTTCCACGGTGATAAACTTCAGATTTTACGATCATCCGAATTACTTATCAATATTAATGGACGTGCGCCGCATTCGCCATAAGTGGTAAAAATCGATTGCAATCTGGATTGTCGATCCAAAATTGAATTTGTATAATGGATATATTTAGACCACTTAGAGCGAGTGCGAAAAATTTCAAATTGATTATTTCCACAAGGAGATACGAACACGGGCACACAGACACACGGCCACATTTCACAAACGAAGCGCGCCAGCAAAATTTTACGAGCGCTAGCCTCCAAAAGAAAAAGCTGCCACTTGCAGCCACGATTCAATCGGTTATTGCATATTTCATGCGGAGCGTCGTCGGTTCGAGGTGGGCAGATATATCCGTGTCCATATCGATAAAAATCTAACTATCATCTACCCCGATGGCTATTTTGGCATAAAATTTGTTCGGATTTTCTTGATGTTTTCTTTTTAACAGCATTGCATTAACGATTCAAATGGTTTGAGCGTTTTGATAACATAGATTTACTAATCAATTTTCAACTATGCATTTCTTGCAGATTGTGTAAATTGCATCGATGATACGCCGCTAGCCAACCGATGGACCATGCCATTGCATAAAATTGGTGACAAAAAATATTACATCGGCACATTTTTCAAGGTAAACCATTACTAATCCGTTCACATTCAAATGAAGCGATCAACATCAGGAAACGCATGTCAAATCCATATCGCCTGAATACCGATCGTTGATCGCTTCATTTTGCTTAGCATGAACAAAAAAAAATTGTTAATCGGTCAGAAAAGAGTTATGTTGTTTGAAAAAAATGACCATAGACTAAACATGTTCATACTCTGTTGTAAAATAAATCCCTTTGTAAATCGACTCGTGCTGTTGTCTGTATTATGTTAATAATGTTGTCGATAGAAACGATGACAGATGAGTTGTTAGACACACACACACATTCAGGCACACTCCCAGAGAGGCGGATGCCAAATAAGACATTACCGTTTTGTACGATTTGTGATCATTTTAATACGGAATAATTGAACAAAATTTCAGGCCAACTGGTTTAAGGCGTCGCAATACTGTCGCTTCCATGGAATGCATTTGGCCAGCATTTCTTCGCAAGAGGAGAATGATCGGCTTGAGAAACACATCAAAGATTTCGGTAGGTGGATTGACGACAACGTTTTTTTTATTCTAATTTAAATATAAGAATGGCGGTGTTGAAGAAGCGAACAACGAGTGTTGCAAGAAGCAACCTGCAATTTGGTTGAAACCAAAATGACCACTCTTCAATTCTGTCATCGCTAACTTCTTCATTTTACTCTTTCCTAATCTAATTTACGATTCTTATTCGATTCATCATAAAGGATTTGGCAATGAACATTTCTGGACGAGTGGTACCGATTTAGCTGAAGAGGGTAACTTCTTCTGGATGGCCACCGGCAAACCCATTACATTTACCAACTGGAACGCGGGCGAACCCAACAATTTCCGATATGAAAACGGTGAAGAAGAGAATTGTATGGAATTGTGGAATCGCGATGGCAAAGGCCTCAAATGGAACGATTCACCATGCAGTTTCGAAACTTTCTTTGTATGTGAAGCATAACAAAGATAAGCTTTGAAATGTCCTATCGTGAATGTGACGGCGAATTTTTTTCAACTCATGATGGAATATGAACGCATTGGTTTCTGTTTTTTTTTCTCGTAAGACAATATTGTTTTGGCATTTGAAGTGTTGAGCCAGTGTTGGTTAGATTGTTTTTAATTGAAAAAACCCGAAAATTGTTTCAAAAACAAAATTGTTTTTTTGCTACCATAGAATTTCTCACATTTCGGAAATCCGAATCAATTTTCCGGATTTTTCAATTACGGTTTTTAACCAATATTCCACTGAACAATTCGAATGCCGACCAAAATTTTCGTCTTGGAAAAAAAGTCTATATTTCATGAGGAGTCGATTTAAAAATTTTCCCTTTGAATGTGGCCCATTTAAGTTGCCTTTTAGATTTTAACAATGCAACGAGACAATTGTAAATTAAATATGTTTAAAGCAAAGGATTCGCACGCATACAACGATGAAAATGAACGGGAAATGCGTTCCAATTCAGGAAAATAAGAGTGTATTCGGATATATTATGTGAAGGAAGAAAAAAACAATGTGTATATAATTACGAAAAAGAAAGAAGAGAAAAAAAATGAATAATGAGAAATCGAATAATTTATTTATTGCTCAATCAGACAAAGAAAGACACACATTATTTTTCTATCGACATTTTTCTTCTTTTTTTAGTTTCAACTTCTTCTGAATGAATCTTTGCATTTAGCGTATTTTCGTAAAGATTTCTTCTCTTTTTGCACACATTGTAGCTTAACTTACGCTTGCTAAGCTACCTAAATACTGCAAAAATATTGTGATTAATTGACCGCGCAGAATTGAATAGTTCTTTTGTTTCTCTCTTTTTATAATGAGATTTACAAGCATCAAATAATTATTTCAGGAGAGGTGAAAAGAAGAAGATGGAAATAAAACAGTAATAGTAATACTCTGAAACATACATATTTTTTAAAATGCAATGTATAGTATTAGCGTTTAATGTTACCTTTCAAATGATGCGCCCATAGATGTTCACTCGCATTTAGAATCGTTGATTGTAATGCATAAATTTAGTTGATTTCAGTTAAGTCAATATTTTAAGATAAGAAAAAACCGATTTTCGATTTTATTTTATTTTTTTGCCGTTCAAAAACCTCGAAATAAAATTGGAAATAACTTTAAATCAACAAACACTGGGGTGTTTTTCTTTCTTATTATTATTTTTATTTCAGATGACGTTGAAACATCGAATATCGAAATTGAACAACAGTGATTTTATGAAAATAAAGAAAAACTTGCTTTTAAAATGATTGATCTTTGAATTTTCATTCTAATAAATGACTTCATTTGAGTCATAAGCAGAAGGTGAGTAATTCAGCTTTTAGTAGTGGAACATTTCGAGTGGCAACAGATACTTCTGATACGAAAGACAATTCAACATTTTCTTAATGTCATACGTCGTTTTTCAATCAAATAGAATACATTCTATTGACATTTGCCGGCATCTATGATATATTCGTCGCTTAATCAATCGATGACTTGAATGGAGTTCCGTGGACATGTTTGCACGTCGCCCATGTGATTTTTTGTTCGGTTCGAAAGGAAACAAGGCCAATGGACACGTATGTGAAATGCGTGAATAAATGAAGTTTTTTAGCAAACAAAATTCCTTACTCGTAAAACTATTCTAAAACTGGTCTTATCTCTAGTTTATCTCTAGCCACCGTTTTACGTCACAATTTTAATTAATATTCGCTACAGTTATCTACGAATGGATTTGAGGGCGATGAAATTCTTTTTTACGCAAAAATTTATACAAATGGGAATTCTTTGCTTCTTATTGCGTATTTAGTATGGAGAATTTGCCAATTTGCGTCATGTAAGTCTTTCGAATCAACAGAAAGAGAATTATTTCAAATCTGGTTCCATGATATAGTTCGATTGCATAGTGAACCTCGAATACGCTCCACTTACCTCTCTATGATCAAACTTACATTTGTGAGGTGAATTTCATGTTTGATTTTTCTCACCTGAAAGCCTCGATGCTTTTAACAGTGGCCTACCTGAAGGCGACGAAGGTGGGACACAGTACCTGCTGGCGCTGAAAGGTATGAATATGTGAAAAGTAAAAACACAAAGAAATTGGAGACGTATGTTGGATTTTCCATTGTTCATGCACAATTAGAAGATATTTTATTCACACCTGAAAAAATCTTCATTTAGATTAATGGCTTAAAATGTACAATTTATCGTGAACTGACTTTTTGGTGATATTTGTACGTCTTTGGGGCATATCATTCTCGCAAAATATATTTACCACATTTAAATATGCTCCCTTCCCGAATAAATAAGCTAGCGCTAATTTCGAAGTGAATCTTTCGATAGACTTGAATAAACTTTTTGGATGTAATCAGTGTCATTACAAAACTGTTAACAAGAGTCATTTCAAGCGGCACATGCAATCAAAACACGGAGCCAAAAGTTCGATCGAATGTAAAATTTGCCGATCGACACATGAAAATAGTTCACCGTTTGAACAAAATTCAATAGAAAGAATTCATTCAAGCTTAACTTAAGATTTAAGCTCCATTTTCGAATGAAACAAAACCGAAATAAATTGAAACTGAAAGAGGGAGTTGACTTTTATTTCTGTCCTTATTTTTGCAGCAATTTTCTTCATTAAAGAATGGAACAAATGGTGTTTGGAAAATATGTTCCAAAATCAACTCTGCACTTTGATTGAGTTTCCCATTTTTTATGATAATGTTTCGGATTCAAAGCGGAATTCGTTCAAATTGTACTCAAATTGGTATATAGATATATTTTAGAATTTTCAAAAAAAAAGAATGTTTACCAATTCAATCAATATCATATAAAATTTATTGATAAGTTTCAACAGAAGCTTCAATTCTTGTTATTCACATGTTGTTAGTTTTTTAACATAAATTTTCAAATATATTTGCTTTTCAATTTGACCAATTTGTGGGTCGTATAATATTTTCCTTCCCATGCGTTGTCTAATCGTTTACGGAAACCGCCATATTCACCACTTAATTTAAATTGGAAATGTTTCAACATTCGAAATTTAAGCATTAGTTCGATAGCTTCATCAGTTGAAAAAAAGCAGTCTGGTAATGTAATCGCAACCAGCAACGGCAAAGATCTAGCCAATCTCGACCAATCCACATCCCCTGAATAAATTTTGTCAATCTTTAGATGCGATATCTTCGAATGTTTGCCGATGAAATCGAAGAACTCTTCATTGAAAACACTACGAAATTCTTCGTTTGGAAATGAGACGGTAAACTTCTCGAGCTGTCCAAATGAAAAGGGTAAGAAACATTCTGGAAATTCATTCAATTTAGTAAAACCAATTTCAAATGTCTTCACACTTTTCATGTGTATAATATTGTCCCTGTCTTTGACAAATGAGATGGGTTTTATGTCAAGATAAAGAGTTTCAACATTTTGCAAATATTCAACTGCATTCCGAACCAAATCTGTGTTCAAATTACTGCAATGAAAGCTTATTGAAACAGGATAAGATCTTTTATTTGTGGATTAAGCTGCAAAAAGGCTAGTACCATTCCATTTTGGAGCAACGAAACAGTAGAATTTGATTCCGCAATGAACAATGTTGATAAATAAGGAAAATGCTTCGTATTGATACTATAAAATGATAGGTTTATGCTGTGACAAGATCTTAATTCTTGCAACCTGGGGAATAATCTATTGAGGCAAACCTTCTCAGTGAAGTTATAGTTCAAGTGGTCAAACCTATGAACGTTCGGAAAAGGCTTTTCAAAACACTCCATAAGGGCATTTGGATAAAATTGTGATGGACAGAATGTAATATGCTTCAAGTATTCGGCACAATAATCATTGATATAAGTGAATAGCCTCTTTGCAATTGTTTTTCAATGTCCAATTCACTGATTGGCATGGCGGCAAAACTCATACGTAATTGTGAAACCACGGGTCCAACACAGCGCAACAACTGCAGAGCAGTTTTCAAATCTTCTATAACAATCCTATACGCGTCTGTGGTTTTGCATAATCGATCTGGAGAGATTCGCATAGTATAGAACTCCACGTATTTATCGCCATGTTTGCGAGCATAAACGAGCTCCGCTGCTTTGTTCAGTCGTTTGCTTGAATCGGACACATTCAGTAGGTCTATCAGCTCTAGATACTCGAGAACCGACTCGAGACAGTCAAAGTTGAGCTCATCGAACTTCATCACTCAGTATAAAAACCTATGAATTTAAACACAAAATTAAATTCTGGATTAAAAAGTAGAATTTAGTAGAAGAGAAACATATTTGTCTCTTCCGCATGGAATTTCAACGCAGAAAAAAAGTTATGTTTTTCTTTATCTTTCTCGAATTTGACTTACCTAACGATTCAAATACACAATATTATTGCTGCTGCTGAATGTTGTTCTTTTCACTTTATTTATGCTAAAGCAAAATATTTTTAAATTGAACACTTTAACAGATAGAGTATAGACAGCGTGAATGTGTTTGATTATCGTTCTTAAACGAATACAGTGACTCGGATCCGAAAGATTGTCAGAGTAAACACACTTCAACATGCAAAACACAACTGCCTTCAATGCTGATTGGTTCAGCTATTTATAGTGCTGTTTTTAAGGACAGAATGTTCAGATTTCTTGCTATGCAAATTCGGAGAAGAAGCCATTCCTTATCTAAACATCTAGTCGACCATCAGCAAGTCGATCCTAATACAGGTATACAGGTAATCGTCAATGCATACTACATGCGATGATGCCATAATTATTCGGGATATTTTCTAATCCCATTTAATCTCTGAAGGTATCGCAAAAAAGTTTGAAATTTGAAAGATTTTCAGCAGAAAAAGTACGCTGTGCTTAATCAAATCTGACTTTTTACAGAGAATTGCGTTAGCTCAGCTTTTAAGGAAAATTGTGTGTGTAGAACTCAAATTGGTGTACATTTCAATTGAGAAGAACACAATATCTCATTTCTTTAAGTTGATCTGAAGAACAATTCACGTTGAGGAGACATGACACTAATTTCTCCGAAGGCAATGAAAAAAGATATTCGCAACAATTTAACGAACATTCTTCAAACAACTCAACGAATTCGCTCAAAAGAGAGCTACTAATTGACATGAAGTGTATACACTCGGCGACGTTGTCTACTTAACGAAATTTCACACAAATAGCAAGCGTTTGCGTCGCAGTATCAATGCTGAGCTTGCCATTTTTCAATGAGTCACAGAGTGAAGCAGACATTTTGGAAAAGACGATAAGCACAAAAATCAATTCCACGTTCAGCAGGAAAAAGACACCGATAAACGTAGGTGCTGAACATCTTGTGTTATTTATTTGTTGTTCTATTGTAATAGTGACAGATTGATGTTATATTCACGAAAATTTTCAAAAAATTGCATAAAACGGAATTAAACGTTTGATTTTTCTCACCTGAAAGCCTCGATGCTTTTAATAGTGGCCTACCTGAAGGCGACGAAGGTGTGACACAGTACCTGCTGGCGCTGAAAGGTATGAATATGTTAAAAGTAAAAACACAAAGAAATTGGAGACTTATGTTGGATTTTCCATTGTTCATGCACAATTACAAGATATTTTATTCACACCTGAAAAAACCTTCATTTAGATTAATGGCTTAAAATGTACAATTTATCGTGAACTGACTTTTTGGTGATATTTGTTCGTCTTTGGGGCATATCATTCTCGCAAAATATATTTACCACATTTAAATATAGTCCCTTCCTGAATAAATAATCTAGCGCTAATTTCGAAGTGAATCTTTCGATAGACTCGAATAAACTTTTTGGATTTGAAATATTTAAAATATTTGTCTTGTGAATGTTTAAATTTTCGATTTTTATTTTATATGATTGTAATTTGTTGTCATTAAAGCCAAATTTACAGTTCGAAAAAAAATCATTGATTTTTATTTTTTAGGTTATATTTTTGCATGCAAAAGAACTGACCGGCAATTGTTTTGCATGCAACAAAAATTGTGAGGAATACCAAATATTTTTTCGCATGGCCAGGTTAGGTACCCAAAAACTGTAAATTAGGCTCAATTTAATGAAGATTCTGATTGATCTTTAGATCTGTCATAAAAAGGTACATAAAAAGGTCACGGTACAAAAATGTTTTATCAAAAACATAGATCATC